AGATATTGGCCTCTCCGCGAACAACACTGAACATGCTTCAAGCTCACAGCCGAGGAGTCTGAGCATGACGGCCTGCCCAGGCTTCATGGGTGAATGGTCTGGTTGAGCCGACTCAATGACCGTGGCGTCGCTGAGTGACTTCAAGAATAGTCTCAGCCGCTTAACGGACTGAGAGCTTCGGTGATGTCCTTTGGCTATTACTGTCGTCTCCTTTAAGTCGTTTTTACTAAACTAGACTAGATCTCTTTGCTAACGGTGCCTTGACGGTGCTTTATTGTCTTGATTTGGCGTCTTGCAGGAGACATTTTGGCTGTAGTGATAGCCAAATTTGCAGTCCTATGTGAACAGGAACAGGGCCTGTCGCAAAGGCTTCGCCAGTGTTTTGGGACGACGCCTTGGCTTGTTATTGCGAATCCAATTACAGAACTTTTAACCGGTTGGAATTCCATCAGCCTAACTGTTAATGCGATCGTTAACTGATGCCGGTGGTAATAAGCCGCTGTTGTTGCATCGAAAATTAATCCCAAAGTTGTCCATTCGGGGCTTGTTTAGAGAGTTTATTGTACCATTCCAACTTCTGGCAGTAATTGTCGTGTTGAAAGAAGACAGGTTTGTAATAATTTCTTGCAGTTGCGAGCAAACGCATTTTTTAGTCTTGATGTTTCGTAGTTTATGTTGTCACTTGAACAGAACCAACAGAAGTGTTGATAAGGTCTACTTAAATGACCCACCAAAACAGCACAGGGAGGTAATAGAGCTGACCATGCGCATACCACAGGTTCGGCTTTAGAAGGCAGCCGACATATAAGACCTGTATCCTCTCAATCTGGTAACAGAAGTACTCATTCATCAAACTCGAGGATCTGCTTAGTGCAGAACCAACCTGCACTCTGACGTAGTAGGTTAAGGGGAGGGGCGGATCTTGCTAGACGCTGTCTGAACGACTGCCGTATCCATTCAGAACGGATGTGACAAATCATTCACACATTTATGGCTCAGTTTATGATCAGCTACCCCAATTTCCACACGCATTCGCTTCCTCGCTGGCCAGCTGGGTGAGAAGATGAGTTCAGACTCGGAGTATACGGCTCTGTGGCTTACTTTTGTTGCGTTCTGAACGTTTCTTCTTTTTGGTAGACTGGCAACCTTCCAGTCAACTGTTGATACAAGAATGCCAGATGCGTTCAACCCCCACCTCAGCTAAAAATGTTGTTTTCGTCCGGCGAGAAATTTGCCTACCAACAAGACTGCGCATACTCTAGCCCTCCAGTCGTCCAAAAGGCCGGTTTACTGGAAGACGGTTGCGTGGGATGGCTCGGTGGGGGACGAGTTTCCAGTGGCACCGGTCAAAGACTGAAGGCCTACTGTATGCTGCATGACATTCTCCATTGCTTCATACAGCTTGTGACATTGATTTACAATCAATGACCAATCATATGATAAGTTAACCGAAATTTCGAACTACGTTTAGGAAAGATTACTTAAGTGCTGTTATAATAGTTATCATCGTGCAGCATAGCCCCGAGATATTTCAAACATGGCAAGAGACCATATCATCGGCGATGAATAACTTCTCTTTCTGTGAGTGTGTTGTTGGCGATGCGGGCTAGTACACCAGCGACGAGATTCGTTTCCTTATACTGATACTGATGCTTATTTCTCAAGGGTTCGAAGCTGGCCAACCAATTGGCCTCGTTTGCTTATAGTCAATACAACTTTAGCGGGTGGTACTATCCTCGAAAAGTGTGGGCTGGTTGAGGAGAGAAACCGAAGACAATTGTCATCACGCGTAGACGTT